CAAAACTACAGCCCTTTAAGAAGAATCTTGTCTGCCATCTGCTGGACACTTTTTGTTGTGCTGGCGGGGTGTGAAGCTCCTAAAGAGACAGCCTCAAAATGAGTTGATCTGAGACACAGCTCAGAAAAGGGGCGGGGCTTGTGGAGTTACAATAAGGAGGATCTCAGACCACAGCATTGCAGCTCCATTTCATATAGACCTCAACTGAAGGATTTAAATGAAAAACAGGATTCAAAGCATCATACTGTGTTTCCTTCAAATTAAAACAAGATTAACATTTTAAAGTCAAAAGGGTTTTCTTCAGAAAAATTAACTAACACAACATAAAATTCCAAAAACATTAAAATATATTACAGGTCTTGTTGAGAATAACTCATTAGGTCTGCATTGGAAGTATTGTTGGAATCAGCCTTTTCTGACTGCAGTGTGGTCCCATCAGCAGAGCAGCCAGAGGCGAAACAATTTGGAGAGGCTGTTGACGCTCACTGACCTTGAAAACTTCAGCAGTAGTCAGTTTTTATGTTTTGTTTTATTTTATTATTTTTTGGATGCTGTCCATGCACTGAGTTGCCACTCTCCGAACAACGAGACCTGATGTGGTTTGTTATTCATGCAGGTCGTAGATATTCTGTCACAGGACAGACAAAAAGCCAAACACCACCAGGAGTCAGAAATGCTTTACTGAAGGATTTCTCAAGAGAAGAAATTTGTAAGAACTGGGAGGAAAAAACAAAGAACTGTTGGAAGATATGAGAGAAAGAATAGAGTGCGAGTGTTTTCATATGTGCTAGATGTAATTGTGGCATGACTAGAGGGCCTTACAGTCACTATATAATGATATTTTTACCAGTGAAATATCCATCAAAGGCTGGTGGAGGCTCTTAAACTCGCTGATATTTTTGAGAAACACACATTTCTGTTATTGTAGAGAAATTTCTCTCTCCAGGCCCCAGCTTGTGGATTTGTGATTTTCTGAAAAAATACAACAAAACCAGCCATTCAAACTTATAATATCTGTCATGGAGCTGCGTCAGCTGGGAGAAAATGACCAAAGAAAAACTGTGTCTCAACAACAAAACTTGTGTTGTAGTTTGCTACAATATAAAGGGATATTTTTTTAAAAAAAGACAAGAAATCTTCACATTATCACGCTCAACTTACCAAAAGCATGATCCAGATATAATTGTTGATAAAGCATTAAAACTCGTTATTATCTTGTAATATTATCCTTCTGTTTTTCATTCAAATACTGTGGTGSTAATTAAAATATATGTAGTTGTATGGAAGAAGTTTTCACAAACAGTTTATTGCAAAGTGTCAAATGTAGTGTATTTATGTGGCCCACAAGAGCTTTAAACATGTATTAATGTCTTAAAATAAGCTGCTTAAAAGAAAAGCTTTGATCATGATGCATGTCAATTATTTTAACCCATGAAGTGGCAGCATTCCACCACTAGAAGGAGCTGCACAGGGTTCAAAACTAGCTGGAAGCTAAATTATTTTACTGTGCAAATACGCCATCTGTTGCATGTCCATTGGTTACTTTTGCTGTGGGCCAGTTTTACTAGAAAGTGGGAATTTCCCACGTAAAAGCTGTAAATTTAAACTGGAACCAGTGGGACTTCCCTGTCGGAAAGTGGGAGAGTTTGGAATTCGAGACGGCAGCTACTCACCACAACTCATCTACAGCGAGTAAAACTCTTACTTTTACGTTTAATAGTATTTCTGTGGTATTTATTTGACATTTAGTCAGACGTAGTAGTTTTCAGTGTTTATAAGAAATGTTAAAATGCTGTTTCTGTGCAGGAAACACCATGTAGAGCTCAGTTATTGTTTGTTAGTGGGGCTCAGAAATGTGAAGCCTGATGTTTAATCAAAGTTAAACATGAATTACAAGCATAACGTTCATCTGGCTCTCAGTGGGAAAGAGTTCTCTCGCACTGGAAAACAATAAACGCTCAATCAATTTCTGAAAATTGTTTTCCAGTTTTCCTTTTCTCATTTTCCCCTGAAGCGCAGCCTATTTCAGTCCAGAAACTACTTTTCTTTTAGTTTATCGCAGACAAATTTTCTGAACACAGCAACTCAGTGGACAAATCGGAGCAATAAAAGATGGTAACGATTGTGAATTGGACTGAAACCAACAAAGATCCACTAATCAATCGGTTGCAGCTAATCAAGCCGTTAACTTTACAGAGTTCACTCTGCAAGTGGACGGAGACACATAATTTATGAGCAAACCTGAATGTCTATTTCAAGTTTAGTCAGAGAGATTTGTGAATGGAGTTTTTGAGATTTGCAAATGATTGCATTCTGTTTTTTCTGAGCAGTTTACACAACGACTCAACTTTTTCCAGACACGGAGTTGTGTTATTGCAGGAGCTGGAAGCAGAGCAGCACCGGAAATGTGTTTTTCGAACTGTACAACCAAGTAAGCCGTTTCGAGCTCTTGATGTAATTGTGTTACATAATTTGAGCTGACTGTTTTGTTTGCACGAGCTGTTCGGTCTCCGAGCAATTCGGGCTCAGAATTGCTGATGAGCCATTTAAAGCCGGTAGCATCGGCCATCTCTTTCGAAACCATTAGGAATAACATTGAGCATTAGTATGTATGCAGTGTGTTGATAAATACCGGCTGACTGAAGACCAACCAAGCTGGCTCCTTAGTGGATGTAAATGAAGGGGTGTTTTTATTTCTTTATTCCTGCAGCAAATGAGCCTGTCCCTAAAGCAAAAGATGAATGATGATGTTTAAACTTAGAAAATGTCAAATATATACTGCTGAAGAAAAAGCAAAACCACAAAATATTTGTTGCAGCTGATGATAGAGGTCTGAAGCCAGGCTCTCGCAGGAGATATAGTGCAATTTCCAGCAGTATGACTCAAGGGGAAGGGGCAGGAAAAAAAAAAAAAACAGTTTCCTGAACTGAAGTGATGTGCCATTAATTTGARGTAACACCTCGGCAAAAAAAATAGAATTAAAAATGCAAACACAATCAGCTCTGCCTGCAGTTGCACCCATTTGGTTGACTGGGCTTTATGTAAATGAATTTAAACACCTAATTTCCTGCAGGTGGCCGCCTGTTTAAAAATGACATCATTGTATCGGCGTGCAGTTCCGAGTCCAAACCGCCAGAGGGCGCCGTACGTCAGCAGGGATCGACGTACGTCTGACGTCTKACGTAGCCGGAAGTTTTTAAGAAGACCATAACAAAACTGCTACTGTGGATATTGGTCATGAAATTAGATATAATGACGCTAATTCAGTGGTTTCTTATGAGTGGGATTTAATAGTGCTCAGTTTTGAGTCACGTGTGTGTTGTTATTCGGCACAGAAAAGACGGAACAAGTAAGTTGTTTACGATGTCATTGCTTCCTGTAAGTGACGCTAGTCGTGTTTTTGGCAGCTAAAATGCTTATTGGACATTTTAAATATGATGGTTAAGAACACAAAATTCCCGAAAAACAGTATAGTCAAACTCTCTGAATGTGACATATATATTATATATTCTCGTCCATGTGAAGGTCTTTTTTTTATTGTGTAGCATGTTTACCTGGCACCAGCCGACCTTAATTGTTTCACATGAGATAAAAGGCAGGTGGGGGGAAAAAAACAACTTATCAGCAAAAATATACAGTATTAATTAATGCCGAATTCTGAGAAAGACTTATAAATATGSATTGTGATAAAAAGCTGGAGTAAAGATTCGTTTAACTTAATAGAATTAAAGTAAAAAGAGAAGTAAATAAAATGTGTCATCTGACCTAATGTCTCAAACAAATCACTTTCATTTCCTCTGCGTGCTCTCAAGTGAAAGTAATTATTATCGTCCTGTTTGCCTGTTAGCAAAATATCTCTTGAATCAGTGAAGGAATTTGAATGAAAATCTCAGATAGTGATCACTGAGTTGACATCTTTTCACTAACTTCCGGAGACCAGTCAATTCAAGATGGCCGCTTCTGCATTGTTTTAGCAAACACATAATGGGTCATAAGTGTTTAATTTTTGCATATGTTGAGCTAAATGTTGGTGTGGTAGTAGCTGAGACTGCAACTTGCCCTCAAAGCATCAGATCCTGAAAGATTTGAAACTTTGCCATTAACCACTGGAGCAGTGTTGCCAGATGGGAAATGTTGAATTATCGTATCAGCGGCTCAAAATTATCGTATTTTGAATCATAATTTGAATAAATTATCGTACACACCCAAGTTACATTTTAGAGAGGCTCAAATTTACATCCTGTTCAGCTCACAGTGTGCTCTGTTTTCAACAAACTGCACATTCCTTTGTTTATAATAAAGTTAAAAAGCACTGTATCTGACTGTTGAGTGTCCTTTTTTTTTAACAAAAGCTTTATTGTAAACAAGAACAAAACAGGGAGCCTGGTGAAATGATGCTTATAAAAAGAAATTTTAGATAAAATTACTATAATAAAATGTAAATTAAAATAGGCAAAATTAAAATGAAATCAGGACATAAAACAAATCATTGTAGTTTAGTCAAGAAATAAATTGAG